GAATGAACCTTTTTCTCACTTTACTGCCATCTCGCACCTCTGTAAAGTATCCTTCTATAGGTAGGATTTGATTACATCAATTCTCTGCTTCACATTCCTCAGTGGCTCTTCAGAAATGTGACAAACCGCAAAACTGATTCTATCTTTAGTACTCCCTTTACCCACACCCTTTACAGTGTGGCTTTGCAGCTTCCCTGGTCTTGAAAACTGGTCCGTTTCTCCACCGTTTAAATTGGGGATTGCTGTGAAGACTTTCTGTGGCCAACACAATGTGCAGAATCAGTTCTGTGCCAGATCCGAGTTGAGACTTCCAGAGACTCAGCTGTGTCCGCTTCGGCCCCTCGAAGTCGCAAGGTGCCAGGCGAATGCACCAGGCTGGCCAGATGGAGAGTGGTAGAAACGTAGCCCAGCTGCCTTTGTCACTTCCGCTGACTTCTCTTCCTCAGCGGTGTGCCCTGTGACACTTCCGGACTACACATGAGCGAGAGCTGAGCCAGGATCTCCGGGCCCTCCTCACGGAGACGAATCTAAATCGACAAAACACAGATGCACCGGGTAGGGAAGAGTTGTTTTCATCCTCTAAGTCTTGGACTGGTTTATTAAGCAGCAAAGGGTGGTTGGAAAAATAACCTTTAGTAGAAAACAAAACTCCAAACTCTCCCTAATGATATGGAAAGATTTTCACGATTTGAGTCCCATTTGTGTTTTACACCCAGAGTGTTTTTTCTTCTTTCCTTGTACTGTGTGTTCCAGTCACGCGTACTTAAATCTCCACCAGTTTTTCCCTGCTCTCACATGCTCTGCTATTCTTGGTACACACAGCTCTAGATGCTGCCTTTTCCAGGATGTGGCTCTTGTGCTTATTTCACATACAAGGTCATAAGCATCAGTTTACTAGACTCGTCCCCCAACTTCGTGACACCTGGGGCTTTGACTTTGTGAACTCTGAGTACTCCAGTGCCTGATGTACAGTAAGTGGCCATTAGTGCCAACTGAAGGATGAAATGGATGACTAAAGTATCCAACTGGAATGTACTGATTTTTATGCCTTGTGAGAATTTGATGATTTCTGAAGCCAAGATATGAAGCAATCCCTCAGTTTGCCAAATTGGGTTTTATATGTCACACAGTTTTGGGTAGGCCAGAAATGATCATAAGGAAACTGCTTGGGAATTCTTCTTGGAATATTGTTACCCATCTGCTTCTTGTCCACTTGTTGATCATAAACATAAATATCTGTGCACTCAGATGATGTTGATTTGATATTTACTGCTAAGGAAATATAGATTTGTCCTCACTCATATGAAGTCTAATAATATAAAGAGATGATGCCTCATAGACGTTGCTACAGCACACACACACACACACACACACAAACACACTTCTACTCTGCAATTTCTGTAATAAGTGTAGATTCCATTACTCCTAGAGGAGAAGAACTAAATCCAAACAAAGAGCAAAATCTCCATTGGATTTCCATGAGTTATGTCTCCCCAGAGAAAAATTCTTTTTTTGATGTCTGGATGATCCTATTGTTAAGTGTCAGTTTCTTTTTTCTTTCTTTCTTTCTTTTTCTTTTCTTTTTTTTTTTTTTGAGGCAGGGTCTCACTATGTAGTTGAAACTAACCTGGACCTCACTGTGTAGCCCAGTCTGGTCTCGAACTCACAGCGATCCTCCTGCCTCAGCCTCCCGAGTGCTGGGATTACAGGCGTGCGCCACCATGCCCACGTTAAATGCCAGTTTCTAATGCATTCCATGTTGGTGTACAGAAGATGTTGCTTGTTGACCCATACCTACTGATAAATGCAGCCAAGAATAGGATGGCCAACAGCCTGAAAAGTATCATCAGTGGGACAAGAAGCAGCTTGGGCAAAGAGAGAAGGAAACCTGGCTACTGCTCCAGCTGGAGGCAGACCTTGCCATCATCCATGTGGAGCTGGTTTTAGGTGCAAGAGTTGTGGGGTCAGGAAGGCTTCCACTCAGATTCCGGAAGGCCTGGGAGACCAGGCAGGGAGCCCCTGAAAGGACAGTGCGTGAAGCTGTGAGTGTGAAGCTGAAGGTGCAGTGGAGACCCCAGAAGTCTGGAGAAGCCAGGAACATAGATTGTCTGAAGAAAGCTGCAAGGAAAGAGCAGAACCAGCCCAAGAGAGAAGCCTTGGTAGCTATAGCCATCAGCAGTTCCATGGGGACAGAGCCACCAAAAACCCTTTGGAGTTTACAGTTTGCCACAGATTGCCAAAACAAATCACATGCACACACACACACACACACACCCACACAATAACAACAGACAACTTGATCCTTGAGGACTCTGTGCCATGGCCATCACTACCCACTAACTCTGAGCCCACTCTGTGTTTTGTTTCATCTTGGGATGCAGCATCAGAGGCACCAACAAACTGGTACCTGTGACTGTGTATGAAGCCAATGTCCTAGGAAAGAAGGCGAACCCTGAGAGTCAGCAGCTCCAGGGAGAAATTATGGACTAGGCCAGCAGCACTGTCCCCCAGAACACTCAGGTTTATTGTAAACTACAAAACAGTTTTACTTCAGAATGACTCTTTCATGGCAGGATAAAGTTGAAGAGGTAATCTAGTGTAGCACCTGCCATATTGGAGATGGTTTAATCAGGAACCATTTGCGAAGGAGTAATTGTTTTAAGACTGTGCCACAGAACAACTACGGAACAACTGCATTTCAGGGTTTCCAGGGTTACCCTACCACAGCGACTGAGAGATGGCCATAAAAGACAGCCATGGAGAGCGTGTGGGCTAGGCGTAAACCTCTGAGAAGTTTAAGCTCAGGCTAGGAAGGACATGGGGCCCTGCCTTCAGTGGTGAGAAGCCAGGCTGGCAAACGCAGCTTTCAGAGGTGGCTGGATCAGAAGGTACTGGCACTAAGTCCAGTGGTGTGCATGAACCCCTGTCCCACTGACTACCTTCAACAGAAACTAGTGGTCACCAGTGGGAGCAGGCACATGCCTTGCTTGGAAGCTTGCCATAATCTTGGGTGTATGGACAGAGGGGCCTCTGGAATAAGGGGAGGGGACACTCACACACCCACAAGCATAATGCTTGGCAGAGAAAATCATGACTGGCTGGATTCTAAGACTGCAGGTCATAGAAAATACTGAAAAATACAGAAAAAATATTTAGCCTCTTCTTTCTTTTTTTTCCCCCATTGGTGTTTGAAGTTTGTGGTTTCTCCTTTTATTCATCCTTCTTTTAATTCTTTTTCCTTCTTATTTTCTTTTTCACTTACTTTGCTTCCTGTATTTTTCTGATTTCTTGTTGGTTCTTTTCTGCTACTTTTATCTAATTGTATTATAACTTTTTATTCCATAATAAGTTTATTTCATTTTTCTCTCCTCATTCTTATCTTCCATTGACTAATTTTTGAAAATTTACTGTTCTTCATCCTCCTGTACTCTCTCTATCTTTAGTAGTATAACTATTAAGCTTTATTAATCTTTAGCTAGTTAACTCTGTGCTTCTACTTCTGAATACTTTTCTATTGTTAGTGGGGTTATAGCTGTTGCACTTGGTATATATTTACTGTGTGTCAATATTTGACTTGTGTTAGTGTTTATTCTGTACACTGTTTTCTGTGGTTAAAGGTGGCACAATACCGATTCTTGGGTATGTCAATATCGAGCTTATCTTTGAAAGTATTATCTTTGGTTCTGTTGCTGGGTGGCATAGTTGTTGCTATTAATTGGTTTTCTCTGTATGTTGATACCTGGTTGCTTTTGTGTCAACAGCACTGTAGTTCATGCCCAGAAAGCTGGGTGCTGGGCCGATTACCTGGCAGCCTCCTCTCCCCATTCAACAGAGGAGGTTGGATCTTGGGACAGAGACACGGCCTATAGTTAGCCATGCCCAGAGCACATCACTGAAAAACAGACACGAAAGAGATCTTCACACCAGCAGCAAAGTCTTTTCCAAGTATTTCTCTCATTGCCTCTTAGTTGAATGTAAAGCAAACATAAGTGGTCTGTGATTTATTACTTATACTCAAAAGTGTCCCACCAGTTACATTTTTATTGAGAAAACCTTTTTATTTTGAGTCCTTCATCCTGGAGATGTACCACCTTGTGATAGCTTTCACAGGAGTTTCATGGTCGTACATTTATTTTTTAAAAATTTCCAGGACTGTCATTTTTCAATCTCCTTTGAAAGACACAAGATATGTGGAGAGCAGATATTTTAAAAAGGCCAAATATACTCGTATTGCCTGTGTCTACCCAGTAGGAAAACAATTGTCAAATGTGACCTCATATTTTGATCCATTAATATAACGATGGCATCGCCCCTCAACTAAGCAAAAAGTACATTAAGACGCACTACAGTTTAAAGCAAACATTTTAATTCAATATCTGTTCTATGTGTGTTCGGTCCAATGCACCTGCGTTAGGAAGGAAACGTGGAGCGCTGTGTAGAAGCTGCAATTGGCTGCATGTCAGCGTGTGACCACCAGAGGGCGGGCTCCCCCTCAGCAACTTCAGCATGTCGTAGAAAATAGGCTCAGACTTCTGGTGGAAAGGAAGCCTTTGAATAGAAATAAATAAAACTGTCTGAGGGGCGTTTTGTTCATGGAATCTGAACCTTTACCTGATCCAAAGTTTGAGAATGTACAAAATTAGGTATTTGAGCAGGAGAAAAATGAAGTCTAAAGGATACATTACTCAAACATCAATAGATAAATATTTTATTGAGAATAAATTTGTTAATGGCACACTTCCACCCTAGTTCCACCCATAGCAGATATTAATGATCAGTAGAGGATAGTGATCAGTGATCAGAAACATTCATTTGGAAGGAGATCCTGCCTCTCTGCAAAATTTTGCTCTGTGACTAATGGACACTTAGACTTTGAAGTTATTTAACCTTTGTTTCCCCCAGTTTCCTCATATGCAAAGTGATGATACAGGTGCTCACTTGATAAACTTGTGACAAGAAGACAAATTAAAAATATAAACGTGATTGTGGCTTTTCTCCAGGTAATCAGGCTCGACCTAATCATTGACTGAAAAAAATGAAGGCATTTGGAACAGGACCTGGTCGCGGTAAGATTGGCTAAGCATTTATTTTGTTTACTCTTTCAAAGAACAAGCTCATCAATTCATTGGTTCTTTGTATTTTTTTGGTTGAATTTCATTAATGCCTGCTCTGACTTTTATAATTTCCTTCCTTGTATTTGCTTCAGATTTGGACTTTTCTTGTTTTTCTAGGATATTAGGTTATTTATCTGGGCTCAGTTTGTTCCTCTATTGTGGGTATTCACAGCTACAAACTTCCCTCTTAGAACTGCTTTCACTGTGTCCCATAGATTCCAGTGTGTTGTACTAGCATTACTGTTTGATTCTACAAACTGTCTAATTTCTTTTGTGACCCATAGAGTATTCAGAAATGTGTTGTTTAAGCTTCCTTATGTTTGCATATACCTGCAATTGAATTTTAGTTTTATAACAGTTTGATCTGATAATACACATGGATTAATTTGGATTTTTTCTATTTATTTAAACATGCTTTAGGAACTATTATGTGGTCTATTTTGGAGAAAATTCCATGTGCCGCTGAGAAAATTTATTCTGTTGTTATTGGGTAGAATTCTCAGTAGATATTTATTAAATCCATTTCTTCAAGGATGTGATTCAATTGATATTTTTTGTTGTTGTTGATTTTTTGTTTTTTGTTGATCATTCTACCTGTGGATAGTGAAGTATTGAGGTACCACATGTATAACTGTGTTGATCTGTTGTAAGTACCGCGCGCTAACCGATTGCGCCACTGGAGCTCCTGTGTTGATCTGATCTTTTATGTCCAAGAGCGTTTGTTTCATGAAGTTGGGTACACCGGTATTTAGTGCATATGTATTTATAATTGTTACCTCTTCCTCAACAACAGAGTGATTTCCTTAAGTATATTAAACTAGAATAGCAAGGCCCTATTCTATTGTATTTTTCTCACTAATCCAAAGAAATCCAATAACTAGTTGTATACGGCGAAAGGGCCTGGATACAAATGGAAGTGAACATCCGGTTCCTGCAGAACCTAAGTCCCAGGTCCCCTGCTGGTCCAGGGCTGCATCCTCCAGCAGCCCAGCAGGCTCCAGCTCCGCCGACAGCTTCCTTCTAGAAGGGGAGGCTGCAGGCTCTGGGCTGCTCACTGAAGACCTCTGTGTGGTGCTGCCAGGTGGGGGCAGAGGCGGGCGGAACTGCAGGAAGTCAGAGCACAGGTGTCCCTGCCTGGTCTGGCTCCTGACAGTAGGAGAGAGCCCACCTTTTCCTCAGAAACCAGCGCTACAGTACGGCTGCCAGTTCACCATCCTGGTGCAAAGCCGAGTGAACCCTGAGACCCAGCATCGAGGCCTCCATGCTGTGCCAGTCCCAGCCCCACCCCTGTACCCTTTAACCCTGGTCTTGTCCATCCCTTTCACCCCACTCTCTTTTCAGAATCAGGAGCCACTGTTTTTGATTTCTATGACCTCTACTTTTTCTCTGTCACGTGTAGGTGAAAATGCAGTATTCTCTGTGTCTGATAATTTTCACTCAACGTGATGTCTGACTGTTCCACCCATATTGGTGCCATCAGTGGCAGCGGAATTTTCTTATTTGCTTGGTGGAATTACACCCCACTGTGTCTATATGCCACCGTTTCTTTATCTGTTCACCTGCCTAGGACACTTCACTCCTGCGGGCAGTGCAGTACTGTGAGAGTGCAGACGTCTCTGCCCGCTGATTTGACTGTCTGGATATATGCACAGAGGGATGATAGCCAGATCATAGATCCCTTCTGTTTGTGGTTTTCTGAAAAATCTTCATACTGTTTTCTGTAATGCTGTACTTACTTGTCCACCGGCAGTGTATCCAACTTCCTTTTTCTTTGTATTGTCATCAGTGTTTGTTAGTTTTTTGCTTTTTGCTAATAGCCATCAAACCAGAGTGAGGTCATGTCTCATTGTGTTTTGATTTGCTTTTCCCTGATGATTAGTGATAGTGAACAGTTTTTTATACACATGTGTCCATTTACATACTTTTGAGAAATGCCTAGTCAGACCATTTGCCCATTGCTCTGTTGGATTTTGTTTGTTTTTTTGCTGTTGAGTTTTTTGAGGCCTTTGCATGTACTGGGTATTAATTTCTTCTCAGGAAAATATTTTCATGCATTCTGTAGGTTGTCGCTTTGCTTTGTTGATTATTCTCTTTATTGTACCAAAGCTTCTTATTTTATATAGTACCAATTATTTTTGTTACAGTTTTCTTTGGGATCTTGTCCAAATAGTTATATAAAAAATATACTGTCAAGTGGTCCAGCAAATACTGTATGTAGGAAATACTGTGCATATGAAGTTAGCTTAAATTTCACAGGTTAAAGCCATGCCTTCCTCCAGGCTGCCTTTACTTCAGATCTATCCACAAGTTTAGGAGTTTGGAAGAATCCCGTCACTTTAGTGAACTAAGAATGAAAGGGTTTCTATGACTCCTTCTCGTGTTCTAACTTGCTAGAAAGACTCACTGCACTCAGAATTGGTTCATATTATGATTACCATTTTATTCTATCAAAAGTATACAAATCAGAACTAAAAACACACAGAGTGTGGTCTCAGATGGTTCCAGAAGTGAAGCTTCCATTGGACCCATGTACATTTCACCTTCACAGCACTTTAATGTGGGAAGATAAGCAGAATATGGCCAAACAAGTGAACTCATCTGAGCCATGATGTCCATAGATTTTATTAGGGTTTCAGACAGAGGCAGCATGATGGATTGAATCTTCGGTCTTGAGGTTGAATCAATCTCCAGCATCCCCTTTCTTAGCTGGGCTGCTCCTGGCATAAAGGCCCAATATTCTAATCACACAGTCAGTCTTTCAGGCATGGGTTTCCCCCAACAGTGTGGCAGCATTTACCACCTTGAGAGATGCATAGAAATTTATTCCTCCTCACTGTCCCTTCACTCTCCTTCGTTTATAAGGTAATTGGCTGAATATTTCCCACTATATACTTGGAACCACATGCGAGAGCGTGATGCATTTTGCTTTAACTATCCAACATATTTAACAAAATAAAGAGGAAATAGAAGGTATTTTGTACTTGCCCATATTTCCTCCTTTTCATGGTTCTTTCTTGGTGTTTCAAAATATTTATAAAGATAGATCTTCTGTGAAGATGTTCTCTTAGTTTCCCTTTAGTCAATTTGTTATTTCCCTTTCATTTCTGAAAGATAATCCACGAGATGTGGAAATCAGAATTCACACTATGTTACAACACCTAATAAATGTGTCCCTTCTTTGTAGTGTTCATGCATTCTGATCATGTTCCCTGCTTTCATCCGGTTTCCCCCACACAAATAAGCTCTTTCTCTCAAGAATTTTTCCTTTGCCTTTGTTGTCAGATATTGCACAGCAGTGTACCTCAATGTGGATTTCATTGTGTTTATCTTTGTTGGTATCATGGACGCTTATGCCCTTCTTTCTGAGTAAGACAGCGGGAACAGGGCAAATACTTAAAGTCCATCTTTCTAGAAGAGAAAATCTGTTCTATGCATGAAGAAATATTGGACAGGTTTCTGTCCGGAGTGTTTGACTCCTCGGGGAAGACTGGATTTATTTCCCAGACCAAAACATCTGAGGACATCTAGAGATGCGGTGGTCCTTGTAACAGGCAGAGAACAAGCTGAGCGTGTGAGTGACAGGGACTTAGACACGGCCTATTTTCCCACTGCACCGGATGCCACGTGGTGACGTCTGCGTTTGCTCATCGGGCTCCCTCAGAAGGAATTTCTGCACCTTTGGGAAGCACCCGTTAGTGCAGATGGTTCCAGAAGTGAAGCTTCCATTGGACCCATGTACGTTTCACCTTCACAGCACTTTAATGTGGGAAGATAAGCAGAATATGGCCAAGCAAGTGAACTCATCTGAGCCATGATGTCCATAGATTGGCAGGAGCAGCTGCTCATCCAGTCCATTTGGGGCCTCCTCACAGAGCACTGGCGCAGGGAGAAAGAACAAAAAAGCCTCCTTGAAGGACTGGGACTTTCAGGGTCCTGCCCTGCTGTGAGCCGAGCTTCCTGTCCCAGGAGCGGAGCTCGTAAGCACCTCTGCTGCAGCATCGTGACAGCACTGGTTAAACTGTAAATATACCAACCTTAAAGTCTTTAATGTAAATTAATATTTGCTAGAAAGAGATTTTTTTATTGTAGAAACCTTGAATACATTAGCGGTGTCTGGACAGATAACACTTATTCTCAATAGTGATAACCTCTGCTCAAGTTCTGCTTTTTCCTTTTATTCCGGACACAGTTTTAACCCAACAGCGATCTTGCTATATGCACTGTGTTCCTTATTTCCTTTCACACCAGATCTAAAATGTGTTGGTGTAAAGTTAGAAGCTGATTTTCTGTGTGTAAAAATGAGAAAGTTGATTTGAAACTCAAACTGTTGATTTGAAAAATGTAGAAATTTTTCTCTGCCTCTTAAGTAATTTGCCTAAGGAACAAATATTTTGTGTTTTATGGACATAATTGCTTGTGATTCATGTTGTATTCTGGTACCCCTGGATCATTTAACAAAATTCAGTTTTCTCTATTTTCAAAGCAGCTAATTCCCCCTGCCCCTGTCACTTCTGTTATTCATTTAAAAAGATTTTTTTGTCACTTTGGTATTGTTTCACATTGATGTGATCCTATTTAATTTGTGCCACTTCTGACAAGTTCACCAAATCAAATTCCAAATTTTCTTCATGCTAACTTTGAAATATGCCAAAAGGATTTAGCTCAGTAGTTCTCACACCTGACTTGCAAGCACAAGGACCCAAGTTTGACCCCCACTACCAAAAAAAGAGAAATATGCCAAAAGAATATATTCTCATTCCTTATAAAAGAGAGGTATTAAACTAAATAGGATTATTTGACATGTTAAAAATTGCATGGGAAAGAGTATAAAATAAGAAATAACTTTTGTGTTATATAGATATAAATTATTCATATGTGTTCCAGCTTGGTGTAATGGTGCAAACTAATAATTCCAGCCTCTGACAGGCTGAGACTAGAGGATCACAAGTTCA